ATATGGCAAGCAGCACACAGTGATTGTGAAATGTGCAGGGCTTCCCTGCCATTCGAGTTTTGATCAATCTCAGCAAAACCCAAAGTTTGCCAAAACCTGGAAACAACTCAAATGTCCATCAACAGTAGAATGAATAAATGAGTTATGGTATTTCATTCAATGTAACATGAATGTAAATGAGTGAGATGAAATGAAAATGAATTATATAAAACTACATGTAACAACAAGGATGAATCCTGCAACAATGTGAAATGAAAGAAGCCAGACACACACACTCTCAAAAAATGCATATCATATGATCCTATTTATATAAAGTTCAAAGGTAGGTAAAATTAATCTGTACCGTTAGAAGTTGGAAGAATGGTTTCTATCAGGAAGGAGTAGGTAGAGATTGGGAGGAGGTGCAAGTTGGATTTCTGGGTTGCTATTGGTGGTCAATCTCTTGTCCTGAGTGGTAACATAGATATATTCTCTTTGTGATACTTCATTGAGTTGAATACAGTCATAAGTGTCACTTAATGATAGGGCTAAGTTCTGAGAAATGTGTCAGGAGATTTCATTGTTGTGCCACCAGCACAGAGTGTACTTATACAAATCTAGACTGTATAGCCTACTACACACCTAGGCTAGAAGACATAGCCAATTGCTCCCAGGTTACAAACCTATACAGCTGTCACAAAACTGAATACTGTAGGCACTTGTTACAGAATGGTAAGTGTTTATGTATCTAAATATAATGAAACATAGAAAAAGTACAGTAAACCTACAGCTTTATAATCTTATGGGCCCACCACCATACATGTGGTCCATCGTTAACTGAAATGTCATTATGTGACACGTGACTGTACTTACGGTTTTTGCATGTCATATGTATGATAGTCCAAAATTCAAATGTTGGATTGGGTCTTGCTTGATTATCCAGGAACTGAGTTTGCAAGAGCTAAAAAGAACCTCAGAATCTCTGCCTAACAGGGATGGCAGGGTCCACTTCCGGACCCTAATGATAGGTCCATTTCTGGAGTCAGGAAAACTGAGTCAAAAACCTGAGTAGAAGGTTATGGCAACAGATATGGCAGGACAGGTTGAGGACTGTACTCAGGGGGATCACCAGATACCAGTCTTGGAAGTAAGTTCCACAGAATGGTAGGGCTAAGATTGCTCGCAGTCAGGATTGACTTGGGGAATGCATTGTTCAGAACATAAAGGTGAAGTCTAAGAGAGGGTATTGCAGAGGATGAGGGGTTGACAGTGGGGAGTGGCATGTTGGGAGCTCAGATCCGGTTTATTTTTGACTCTCATGAGGCCACATTTCCTCCTCTCCTATGGCATTCCCCTCCTAATGTGGATAGTATGGTCAGCCCAGGTCATGGGAGTGTGGCCCCGATTTTCCATGTGGGGAGACTGGCTCTAGTTTCTCAAAAGCACAAGCTGCTGGGCCTTTTTCTCAACTGTGGGCCTCTGTGGAAGACACTTGGCTTAATGGAAGGGAGAATGAAGAGAGGCTTTTGGAAAGAGAGGCCCTAAACAGGATCAACATTGACGCCGAGCAACACGAGGGAGAAGAAACTTTTCTTGGTGTTCATACCACAGTGGGCCACAGCGTGGTGGGAAGGCATATTTGAATAAGCTAAGGGGAGGAGCATAAGGATAAGAGAGTCTTTGAGGATTGGGAAGCAAGGAAACCAAGGCAGCTAGCCATGGGCAAGGTGTAGGGGCAGCAAACTTGCTAAAAACCTGCTCTTCAGATCCACCACTTGCATTTTTAACCCTCAGTCACAACCAAGGAGCTGCTGAGGAGTGAAGCCTAAGATGATAGTCCCTAGGATGCATGGGGCTGACTTTTTGCTAACTGTACTACAAATATTTGGAGCCATTTGCTGCTATAACATCTTAAAAAGATGAGGACTCTCATTGGATGTTCCAGTCCCAATTTGGAGAGAATAAGGAAGGCCATGCCAGCCCTTGATCAAGATCTTGAGTGCAATGCAGGGTGGACTCAGAGAGACAAAAACCTAATTTATCCCAGCTTAGTGTCTGCCAGCCATTTAAAAAAAAAAAAAAAAAAAAAATGGCAGTGGATCAACAGATGTGCTTAGTGCTGAGAAGCATCTCCTTGTGTGATTAGAGTTAATTAACATTTAGCATAGCCCCTTTAGGGGTGAGAAGTTGCAATTGTCTTTCTCTAAAGGTTAAATTACCCCCATTGAAGGGGAACATCACACACCGGGGCCTATCATGGGGAGGGGGGAGGGGGGAGGGATTGCATTGGGAGTTATACCTGATGTAAATGACGAGTTGATGGGTGCAGCACACCAACATGGCACAAGTATACATATGTAGCAAACCTGCACGTTGTGCACATGTACCCTACAACTTGAAGTTTAATAATAATAATAAATAAATAAATAAAAAATAAATAAAAAATAAAAAAATAAAAAATAAAAAATAAAAAAAAAATAAATTACCCCCATTGTGTTTGCCTTCCTGGGAGGAAAATGAAGGATGAGTTGGGAAATCGTTGTTGAAACACAACCATGACACCACTGTGAGTATGTCTAATTCCCTGGCAAGGGGGTTTCAGGCATTTGAAAGTGCATAGTAGTAACTAGATTCCAGGATGTGTCTCAGGAAATCCCAAAGGGAAGTTTTTTCCATTCATAGAATACTTCCTGAAGACATTATTATAGGAAAACTTTATTTAGGAAAGTTTCTTTGATCCCGTACTAGCACATGAGAACATATAAGCAGATGACAGTATCTAATATCTACCACCGCCTGACCCACTCTGCTTCCCATCCCAGAGTCTCTTTTGCAATATGCATGGAGCGGTGCTTCGACAAAGCTCTCTAGATAGCACCCAACCTCACCAGGAAGGTCCGATTTATAGCCTGTTGATCTTAAGCATGTCAGTGCAATGCCCAAAAGAGAAAGGAAGTCTGAATAAAGGGATATTATAGAAAGTCTTCAGCCAGTGGGTAGAATCTCATCTCTAAGCCAGGCTGAGATCACCAGATCAACAGGATAAAGAACTATTTGGAGCTATATGTACCTGATGAGGCTGGATTCATGAGATCAAGAGTATTTGAGGTCCTTGGGCATAAGTAGGGTAGTAGCTGAGAAGGGCTCTCTCGGCTCTGGCTCTCCTGACCCTACTCAGAATGCCACACTCACCCAAGGCTTGATGTTGCTCACCTTGGATCAGTGGCTGTTGTCGCCACCATCTCTCCCACAGAGGGGGAATAATTGCACCCCCATCACAGACTTTCCACAAGTCAGGATGATCTCTCAGTGGCTCTCAGGTTTCCCAGATGTCTTTCTCCAAATGGGCATGTGACTGACAATCTACTAAATCTCTGTACTTCCATTTGCTCATCTGTTAAAACCTGTACCCCCTCACAGGACTGTTGTGATAACAAAATGAGATTTCCATGATTAAGGTACTTAACTTTCCCCAGTGCCTGCCCATAACAGATGCTCCAGAAGTGGTAGGCATTAGTTTAAACCCATCAGGAGCCTTTAACCACTTGATTTTAATTAAATGACCCTCAGGGGTGAGATGGAGCGGGTGATTTCGAAAGTGCACACTGGGAGGGCATTTATTTGGAAGGAATCTTGCAGGAGCAGGTAGAAGGTCCCCAAAAGAACAAAATACGGGTCACCTCACAGGATCCACTGCTGGACCAGGATCCTTTATTGAAGCTGGAGCCTCAGTATAAAAGAGTTACTTGATGGTACCTGGGTGTCCAAACCTCTACTGTTGCTATGGTTTCTCCATTTCTGAGTATGTCCCTCAAGGAGCAGTAGCAACGGCTGGTCTTTTAGGGCCTCATCAAACACATTCAGACATTTCAAATGTCCCACGATGCGAAGCTTTGATCCTGAATGTTCTTCCCTTGATTAAAACAACAACAGGCGCTACTCAGGAGGCTGAGGCAGGAGAATGGCATGAACCCGGCAGGTGGAGCTTGCAGTGACCGAGACCGCGCCACTGCACTCCAGCCTGGGCAACAGAGCAACACTACATCTCAAAAAAAAAAAAAAAGAAAAAGAAAACAACAACAACAACAACAACAACAACAAACCAATAAAACAATAAAAATTTAAAGAGAAACTTAAGCCGTGCATTTCTAAGAATTTACACTTAGTTCACCAAATCTATTGTTTTCTGAGTTGTTTGAAGTTCAACAAGACTAATGAGCCTTTTTTCCAAATGTCTTTAAAAATTCCTTTTTCTTAGAAGGACATTTAGAGGCTTTGAAAGTTGTCCCAAGGGTAACAATAATTCTAATAATAAATTGCTCCAAACTCCAACCCCTGCAGGTTCAAAATTTACTTAATACTCTGAACCCAAGGGATTTAAATTATTACCAGAATTTATTATCTTTTGTTTATGGAGCTTTCCAAACAGGAGAAAGAAACCACGTGGAGATTCACTAGAGTTCATTGTGTGGTTTGTTTTGCGGTAATGCATATAACCCAGAAGACTTCCAGAATCTTCTCAGTTTGAACCTTCAAAGCCTCCCTATTTTGGTGGAATCAACGTGGTTAGGATGAGATTGTACTAAGGGTACTGATTTTTTGGCCTGGACAGTTATTGGCTGATGGACCAGAGCAAGAGCCCTCATAGAAGGATTCTCCTGTAGGACATACAATCTGTGTTACGTAAGATGGATGATATATTGTTAGGTGGCTAAGGGGTGGAAAGAGAACAATTTTTCTCTGGGGTGTGTGCAAAGAAACTGACTGCCTTGACGCCCCTTGAACTCTCTACCTTGTCATCTGAGGACCTCTGGTGGTGGAATTTTTCCCAGCGTGTGTGAATTGATGTTTCTGTGCCAAGCCATCCGACCCTGTTACATTTTCCTACATTCCTTTCCTCCTATTTTGTCATTCTCATTAAGCAAGGAGCAACAATCAGTTGCAAACACCCAGAACAAAGTGGTGGATGTGCCTGACCAGACTGCCATTTCATAAAAGTTACCTGATACCTTCTTTTCCAGTGAACCTCTGATACATTTCCTGTAGCAAGAGAAGGCAGCCAACATGAAGGAAAATGTGATATCTGCAACTGTTTTCACTCTGCTACTTTTTCTCAACACCTGCCTTCTGAATGGTAAGTAAGAGACTATTGTGCTCTCTTTCATTGCCTGGGGTGTTTGTCAATAGGATGGAGAGTCCATTGCAATGTTCTTGCAATGCCGTCGTGAAAAATGAAAATTCTGTTATGTGCTGCTGTTGAATGATTTGCAATATTTTGCATTAAAGTTAATGCAGAAAAATTAATGCAGTTAATGCAAAATCTTGTCACTATGCTTTCTGCCTTCTGTCCTCATTTCAGGAGTGTAAAAAAACAGCTCTGAAGAAGACAGGACCTGAGTTCTAATCCAGGTCCTGCCAGTTTCTAGCTGTGTGACCTAGAGCCAATTACCTAACTCTCTGGGTTTCCAAATTCTCAAAGTGAGGATAGTGATGTTTCCTCTACTGCAGATGAAATAATGTATATGAAAACTCTTTGAAAACCCATGATGGGATATAAGAGGTTGCTGTTACATGGTGGGAAGTAGGTACAGCCAACTCTATTATCTGTGCTAATAGGAGAAATGAAGTCCACAGCTAAATGAGAGGGTGGGTGCCTGTGAATATACACTTCTGTATGTCAACCCTTGTGCATTTCTGGGTGTGCAAACTTCTATATGTACCTGTGTATATATTAACTTTTCTCTATGGACCTGACTGTAAATGCTTCTCTGTCTGAACCTGTATGTATATACTTTTATGTATGTCTGTGTGTGTTCTGTGGATATCTGTAAGTGCACACTTCTCTGCATGTACCTGTGTGCATATCAGTATGTACTTCCATGAGTACGCACCTGTGTATATTTCTGTGTGTGTGTGGTGTGTGTGTACTTTTGATGCGGGCTCTGTGTGGGCATCTACATACCTGTATGTGTGGTTCCTGTGTGGTTTTCTCTGTGTTTCTGTGCATTGAGATTTTAACTTATTCCTCTAATGTAGATGAAGAAAACATTTGTCTAATTGTAATTTTACAAATCTACCTTCCTTTCTTGAGTTTCCTGAAGGTACTATTAATAGACCGTAAAATAAGAAAGAAAAGCTTTCAGAGAGAGAAAAAGGGGAAAGCAGAGGTCAGAATGACCCACAAGAGAAACTAAATACTCAAGAAATCAATGATCACCCTAATTGGCTTCTGAGTGGCTCATTATGGAACCACAGGCTTTGGATTTTTTAGATAAACGTTTCCTTCTACTTCACACACTTCTCCCCACTCATGACAAAAACAAAGCAAAACAAAAACTTGCATTCTTGCTGTGACTCCCAGCAACACATTATCCTGAATAAATTGTCCCTAGAGGATGAGCAATGTTACAAATATTGGCAGAGCTGACCCAGGCTGGCAAGGACGGGTTTCAGCATGGCCTGTGAGCAGGAGGGTAGGTGAGCTCCAGCTGACACTACCAGTCTGGTGTCCTGGGCTCCAGCCTGTGTCCCACAACATGCCATTCTGCTCAATTCCTCTTTCTGGCCAGCTCTGCCTAGAGAATCCTCTTTCCATGCATTTCCCCTCACTGAGGTCTCCTCCTAACCTGCTGTTTCTGATCTGATGCTCAGCTAGAAACTCTGGCCTTGGAGCCTGCATAAGAAGTAGAGAAAACAGAGAGAACGCCCAGAGGTGCTGACCCACCTCTGAAAGCACTCCTTTCTGCTCCTGATATCCTGAACTCAGTGCTAGAGCACCCAGCTAGACAAAAAAGAGGACCAGCTGAAGTCATGTAGGCAAGCATGGTGACTTCCCCAGCCCCACGGCATCAGGGCAAACTCCCAGGGCTCTGTTGTCCCTCTTTGAACCCGACATCCAAGCAAGAGAAATGTGGGCCCGCTTGCCAAAAGCTTTGGGGATTTGGCAACTAAAAATTTTACAACCTTGGTACTGTATTTTCACACCACCTCACCGAGACCTTCTAGCATGCAGTCTGGAACTGGGTACAGCTCTTAGAAAGCAGTGGTCGCTCAGAACCAGGAGAGGAGCTGGCCACTCTCCTACCTCTTATCACACCTCCTACCCTGAAAAGATTCATCAAATTATAGTTTTATAGACCCTATGGGATTACAAGATTACAAAAGGGCCACACACTCTTCAAGCCCTCCATATCCAAAGGAAGCCCTTTGCAACCTCACCACAAAAATTAAAAAATAAAAAAAAAAAAAAAAGGAAAGAGAGGAAAATCTAAGAGAAAAAAGGACTAAAAACCAAGATTCAGAAATGGGGATGGCGTGGATGAGGAGACAGACTGTGAGTCTGGGTCACAAGATCAAAGCTGAATAAAATCAAGGAAAAGTGGTGAGGCACAGTAGCTCATGCCTGTAATCCCAGCACTTTGGGAGGCTGAGGCGGGCAGACCACAAGGTCAGGAGTTCGAGACCAGCCTCACCAACATGATGAAACCCCATTTTTACTAAAAATACAAAAACTTAGCTGGGTGTGGTGGTGTGTGCCTGTAATCCCAGCTACTCAGGAGGCTGAGGCAGGAGAATGGCTTGAACCCGGGAGGCACAGGTTGCAGTGAGCCAAGATCGCACCACTGCACTTCAGCCTGGGCAACAGAGTAAGAGCCATCTCCAAAAAAAAAAAAAAAAAAATTCAAGGAAGGGGCGCCTAGATACGGGGAGCTTCAGAGATGCAGTGAATGGACAGAAGATGAGGAACAAGTTGAGTTCATTGTGTGGGGATGGCAGAAAGATGGAGATTGGTGAGCAGAGTGGAGAAGTGCCATAGAGTGGTGTTTCGCCCAAGTGTCTGCAGGTTGCTCATACCTGGGAAGGATTCTTTGTATGGTCCCCTTAGACTGCGGGAGGGTATCAGCTTTACAGACCTCGTGGGATTACAAAAGGGCCACCACACACTCTTCAACCCATATGTGTCTATCTTGCATTCAAGGCTCACTCTTAGTTGAAAATTTGCAGTTGGTCACTAGCCCTCACATAGGCTATTGGTATCTCCATCTGGAAGTACACAAACACACACACGCACACACACACACACCCCAGCACTAAGCTGTCTAAGAGCCCTGCCAACATCAGGGCAGCCCACAGGGGAGTGTTGCTGCATGCTGATGCTGGGCATTTCTGAGCATCCACCCTAGGTCTCCTCACCCGAGGCTTCATCACTGGCTTGGGTCCCATCAATCTGTTTCTGTCACCAACAGAAGGATCAAATGGTTAAATGGACCTCAATATTGATGCAGTGGCTTCTGGCTTTTTCTAGGACAGTTACCTCCTGGAAAACCTGAGATCTTTAAATGTCGTTCTCCCAATAAGGAAACATTCACCTGCTGGTGGAGGCCTGGGACAGATGGAGGACTTCCTACCAATTATTCGCTGACTTACCACAGGGAAGGGTAAGAAGTTCCCTTCTCTCCTGTGAAACCCCATGAGTACTCCCATTCTCCAGGCCAAAGAAACTCTGGTTCTGAGTGGCAGCACTTCCCTGAATTTACACCAGTAAGGTTCATACCGCTGGGGAAAGGGGAGTCTGAGGTCCATGCCGACATTCTCCTGTTAATGTCTGTTAAGAGCTGTCAATATACATAAGGTTACCAGCCATAGCAGTACAATATCAGTAATGTTTCAAATCCCCTGTCACAACTTAGGTTGCAGCCTGAGGCCCCATAGAAGTGTTTCTTAATTGGTAGTTGATCTTAGATGCTCATCTATAATTCTTATGCCATTTGTATTTTTTTTAACTAGACGTGTCACTTTTTCAAAATAAGTAGGATCATGTGAAGTGGTACCATGTAATCCTTGACAAACATGGTTCATGTTCAAGAAAACAAAGAACCTTGCAGGGAAAAGAAGGCGAGGGTTTTTCCTTAGCACATTTCTGATCTAAGAGTCACGATCTCCTAGAGGACATATTTGGACCTAAGGTTGCAATGAGGGCTAAACCAGATCATCTCTGTGCAGGCATTTTGTTGCGCTCACAGTGAGACCCTCCTGGAAATCCTGGGAGAGCTGTATTCTTCTTCAAAAAGGAAAATATTTAGTTGCTGGTAGAGATAGCTGGCCCACTTTCCAATGACTGCACTTTGTTGTACACAAAACTGTCATCCTGGCTGAAATCCAAACGGACATCATGTAAACAGATTTCAGGATCTCAAATGCAACCAGAACTGAACAAGCCTCCACACCTGTGCAGTGTGTCTTGTGCTGAGGCTCCTGAATCTAAATGTGAGCAGCCTACTGAGCCACTTGGGCTTGAAATACCTCCTTTCAACGTCCCTTCACTTTATTGCTGACTTGGTGCAGTCTGAAATGGACCAACATCAGTTTTTGTCCTCTTGAACCCTTTTTTAAAAAATGAAACGTAGCCCGGGCGCGGTGGCTCATGCCTGTAATCCCAGCACTTTGGGAGGCCAAGATGGGCGCCTCATGAGGTCAGGAGATCGAGACCATCCTGGCTAACAGGGTGAAACCCCGTCTCTACTAAAAAATACAAAAAACTAGCCGGGCGCGGTGGCGGACGCCTGTAGTCCCAGCTACTCGGGAGGCTGAGGCAGGAGAACGGCGTAAACCCGGGAGGCGGAGCTTGCAGTGAGCCGAGATCGCGCCACTGCACTTCAGCCTGAGTGACAGAGCCAGACTCCGTCTCAAAAAAAAAAAAAAAAAAAAAAAAAAAAAAGAAATGTAATTCAACACGAATGTAGAAATAGCTGCTGTATTGAGGAGCATGGACCCTCTGTGTGTAGACAGGTGAAAGTTCCAATTTCCTGCGCCACCCAACAGGCATGACCTGGGTATATGAACATGGACCCTCTGTGTGTAGACAGGTGAAAGTTCCAATTTCCTGAGGCCACCCAACGGGCATGACCTGGGTATAGTGGTGCCTAGGCCGTTGAAAGCTCGAGTATTTATCAGCAGGGGATGTAGGTCCCAGAGCCCACAAGAACACTTATAGAAGGGAAGGGCTGATCAGAAGCCAAACACTTGAGGCCCTAAAATAACCTTTCCAGCATGCTATTCTCTCTCTCACTCCCAGCTGAAATGGGCAGAACATGGAAGCCTAAGGAACCATTTGTCAGCTCTGGGTTTTGTGCTTGGAATTTCTGATACCCAAAGGCCAGTGGTATTGATCTATGAAGAAAAAACTAGACTCTCTTTATTACTTTATTATTCATTCCTAATACATTACTTATTACAGAGAGACACTCCTGCATGAATGTCCAGACTACATAACTGGTGGGCCCAACTCCTGCCACTTTGGCAAGCAGTACACCTCCATGTGGAGGACATACATCATGATGGTCAATGCCACTAACCAGATGGGAAGCAGTTTCTCGGATGAACTTTACGTGGACGTGACTTACATAGGTAAGGGGAAGGAAAGTGGGTGAGGCATTTGTTACTCCATTATGTATTAGCCAATAGTCACACTCAGTTTGAGTCTTCTTGGGTTTTGGATGGATCCCCAAAAGGAGGATGAGAAAACTCACAATATGTTTGTCAACTGAGCATTTCAAATCATGTTTTATCAAGTCATTTATGACACTAAGGCTGGCACTTGGGATCCTTGTGTTCCTGTGCTTTCCCTTGACCCTCATCCTCTTGCACTAGGGAACAAATGTTCTAAGTACGTTCCCCTTGCCAACCCTTCTTTCTTGCCCTCCCCTTGCAATCGATATCCCCTTCTTCCTTGGCAAGCTGGGATTTCTTTTATTTCTCCTCATGGAATACAGAGATGCTCCAGGAAGAAGCAGCTCTTAGAAGGGTTCATCTGGTTCTGCATCCACAGCAATTGCCCCCATTGCTTTGCGCCAAACTCACATATGTGTGTGTGTGTGTGTGTGTACACATACATGTTGCATATATGTGATATATATATTTGTGTGTGTGTGTATATATATACACACCATTGGTAATTTTTTTACTAAACATGTTATTTTTATAACATAAGAAGATAATGTGAGGTGGCACCATGCAATCCTTGACAAATACAGTGTTCAAGAAAATAAAGAATGTAGGCTGGGCACGGTGCCTCACACCTGTAATGCCAGCACTTTGGGAGGCTGAGACAGGCGGATCATGAGGTCAGGAGTTCGAGACCAGCCTGACCAACATGGTGAAACCCCATCTCTACTAAAAATACAAAAATTAGCCAGGCTTGGTGGTGCGTACCTGTAATCCCAGCTACTCAGGAGGCTGAGGCAGAAGAATTGCTTGAACCCAGGAGGTGGAGCTTGCAGTGAGCCAAGATCACACCACTGCACTCCAGCCTGGGCCACAGAGCGAGACTCCACCTCAAAAAAAAAAAAAAAGAAAAGAAAAGAAATAATTTAAATGTTAAAAACTACGAATGGTCTGTGCACACACACACACACCCCCAGAGAAAGAGAGAGAGAGAGAGAGAGAGAGAGCAAGAGAGCAAGCAAGAGAAAGAGAGAGAGAGAGAAATTTATCACCCCTGCATTTACTGGTGCTGCCAAGGTTGCAGGAAGGTCATCTCCAAGCTGAACGGGAAGCTCTCTGGCATGACCTTCCATGTCTCTACGACAAATGTGTCAGTCATGGACCTGACCTGCTTTCTAGAAAAACTTGCCAAATATGATGACATCAAGAGGGTGGTGAAGCAGGGACGATGTTCTGGAGAGCCCCATGGTTGTCGTACTACAGTTGTGCAGAGGGGCCATTCACAGTCTTCTTTACGGAGTGATGGCATGGACCGTGGACATGTGTCCTTCCATGATGAATGACAAATTTTATGTAAGTGTGGTGTGTGTGTGTGTGTGTGTGTATTGACTTACCCTCAAGCATTATAATATTTGAAGGCAAAACAATGAAAGCAAGAAATGTTCTGAAATTAGCAACTGTTTTAATAAATGTGATCCACAAAAAAGGTGCTCACTAAAGAAAAGTAATATGTTTAAAAAGAGAAATCAGCAAGTGTCTATGAAATTCTCATTGGTCCTGGAAAACAAATTCTCTGTTGAAAGAATATGTTGGACCATATTTTTCAAAATAATAAAAGAAGTGTCCACAGAGCTCTCGTATAACCCTGCAGCCTACAGTGTTGTGATAGCCACGGAAGTTCATTTTAAAATACACGGTAATTTCCCGACACTTCCACTCTCATGCAGTGATAACCTGCAGGACAGAATGACAACAATTGAAAGATAATTGCTCAGAAGTAGAGTTCTTTGTTGTTAATATTTAGTTACACTGAAAACACTTAAAAGCAGTGGTTCTCAACTGGGAGCTGTTTTTGCTTCCCACAGGATATTCGGCAATGACTGGAGACATTTCTGATTGACACAAGCTAGGGAAGTGGGGAGATGGGGGTATTACTTGTATGTAGTGCATAAAGCCCAGAGATCCTTTTAGCATTCTACAAAGCATAGGACAGCCCCCTCCAACAAAGAAATATCCAGTCCAAAATGCAAGTAGTGCTGAGGCTGGGAAAGTAGGCTCTAAAAGATACATCCTGAACAGTTTATTTGCGTTTTTGTGTAATTTTTTTATCAGAAGCATTGCTCAGTATGTATTTAACTTAAAACATACATTAATTAGCTGCTATTTGTTTAGGAAATGTGATCAAAATAATCTTTCTTAGGTACTTACTCAGTAACATATCAACTTAGACTTGATGGCAATCTTTTTTTTTTTAGTACAGGGGACTTTATTGATGGCACATGGCAAAGTGGGGCTCCCTAAGCACCTCCTCTTCAGGGGGTCTGCATGAAAATTGTGAGGGGAGATTGTCACTGAGGTGGGGGACTGACTGCCACCGCGACTCCCCAGCAGCTGAGGGTCTCGCTCTTGCTCTTGTCCTCTCACTGGGGCTGGTGGTCCAGGGCTCTTACTACTTGGAGGCCATGTGGGCCTTGGGGTCCATCACCCTGTTGCTGCAGCCTAATTCACTGTCATACCAGGAAATGGGCTTGACAAAGTGGTAGTTGAGAGCAATGCCAGCCCCAGGATTGAAAGTAGAAGAGTGGGTGTCACTGTTAATGTCACAGGAGATAGCCTGGTGCTTAGTGTAGCCCAGGAGGCCCGTGTGTGTGTGTGTGTGTGTGTGTGTGTGTGCACGCACATGTGTGTGTGTGTATTGCCTTACCCTCAAGCATTATAATATTTGAAGGCAAAACAATGAAAGTGAGAAATGTTCTGAAATTAGTAACTGTTTTAATAAATGTGATCCACAAAAAAGGGGCTCACTAAAGAAAAGTAGTATGTTGGACCATATTTTTCAAAATCATAGAAGAAGTGCCCCCGGAACCCTCATATAACCCTGCAGCCTATGAAGGGGCCTTCCAATGCCTGCTTCACCACCTTCTTGATATCATCATATTTGGCAGGTTTTTCCAGATGGCAGGTCAGGTCACCGCTGACACCATGGTGGGGACATGGAAGGCCCTGCCAGTGAGCTTCCCATTCAGCTCGGAGATGACCTTGCCATCAGCCTTGGCAGCACCAACAGACGCACGGATCATGTTCTGGAAAGCCTCAGGGCTGTTGCACCACAGTTTCCCAGAGAGGCCATTGACAGCCTTCTCAGTGGAATGATGGCATGGACTGCGAACATGAGTCCTTTTACAATGGATGGCAATTTTTTTTTATTATACTTTAAGTTCTAGGGTACATGCGTACAACATGCAGGTTTGTTACATATGTATACATGTGCCATGTTGGTGCGCTGCACCCATTAACTCATCATTTACGTTAGGTATATCTCCTAATGCTATCCTTCCCTGCTCTCCCCACCCCATGACAGGCCCTGGTGTGTCATGTTCCCCACCCTGCGTCCAAGTATTCTCATTATTCAGTTGCCACCTATGAGTGAGAACATTCAGTGTTTGGTTTTCTGTCCTTGCGATAGTTTGCTCAGAATGACAATTTCCATCTTCATTCATGTCCCTACAAAGGACATGAACTCATCCTTTTTATGGCTGCATAGTATTCCATAGTGTATATGTGCCACATTTTCTTAATCCAGTCTATCATTGATGGACATTTGGGTTGGTTCCAAGTCTTTGCTATTGTGAATAGTGCCACAATAAACATATGTGTGCATGTGTCTTTATAGCAGCATTATTTATAATCCTTTGGATATATACCCAGTAATAGGATAGCTGGGTCAAATGGTTTTTCTAGTTCCAGATCCTTGGGGAACTGCCACACTGTCTTCCACAATGGTTGAACTAGTTTACAGTCTCACTAACAGTGTAAAACAGTTCCTATTTCTCCACATCCTCTCCAGCACCTGTTGTTTCTTGACTTTTTAATGATTGCCATTCTAACTGGTGTGAGATGGTATCTCATTGTGGTTTTGATTTGCATTTCTCTGATGGCCAGTGATGATGAGCATTTTTTCATGTGTCTGTTGGCTGCATAAATGTCTTCTTTTGCGAAGTGTCTGTTCATATCTTTCACCCACTTTTTGATAGGGTTGATTTTTTCTTGTAAATTTGTTTAAATTCTTTGTAGATTCTGGATATTAGCCCTTTGTCAGATGGGTAGATTGTAAAAATTTTCTCCCATTCTGTAGGTTGCCTGTTCACTCTGATGGTAGTTTCTTTTGCTGTGCAGAAGCTCTTTAGTTTAATTATATCCCATTTGTCAATTTTGGCTTTTGTTGCCATTGTTTTTGGTGTTTTAGTCATGAAGTCCTTGCCCATACCTATGTCCTGAATGGTATTGCCTAGGTTTTCTTCTAGGGTTTTTATGGGTTTAGGTCTAACATTTAAGTCTTTAATCCATCTTGAATTAATTTTTGTATAAGGTGTAAGGAAGGGATCAACTTTCAGCTTTCTATATATGACTAGCCAGTTTTCCCAGCACCATTTATTAAATAGGGAATCCTTTCCCCATTTCTTGTTTTTGTCATGTTTGTCAAAGATCAGATGGTTGTAGATATGAGGTATTTTTTCTGAGGGCTCTATTCTGTTCCATTGGTGGATAATCTCTGTTTTGGTACCGGCGCCAGGTTGTTTTGGTTACTGTAGCCTTGTAGTATAGTTTGAAGTAAGGTAGTGTGATGCCTCCAGCTTTGTTCTTTTGGCTTAGGATTGTCTCGGCAGTGTGGACCCTTTTTTGGTTCCATATGCACTTTAAAGTAGTTTTTTCCAATTCTCTGAAGAAAGTCATTGATAGCTTGATGGGGATGGCATTGAATCTATAAATTGCCTTGGGCAATATGGCCATTTTCACAATATTTATTCTTCCTATCCATGAGCATGGAATGTTCTTCCATTTGTTTGTGTCCTCTTTTATTTCACTGAGCAGTGGTTTGTAGTTCTCCTTGAAGAGGTCCTTCACATTCCTTGTAAGTTGGATTCCTAGGTATTTTACTCTCTTACAAGCAATTGTGAATGGGA